GGAGACTTGTATTCATAGGAAGGTGGAGGAGGAGGTGGTGACTTATACTGGTAAACTGGAGGAGGGGGTGAACTGTAGTGATAAGTTGGTGGTGGTGGTGGTGGTGGTGGTGGTGACTTGTAGTGGTAGGTTGGTTGCGGTGGTGGAGGAGACTTGTATTCATAAGAGGGTGGAGGAGGAGGTGGTGACTTGTACTGGTAAACTGGAGGAGGGGGTGAGCTATAGTGGTAGGTAGGTGGTGGTGGAGGAGACTTATATTTATAGGTGGGTAGAGGAGGAGGTGGTGATTTGTAATGATAAACTGGAGGAGGGGGAGAACTGTAGTGGTAAGTTGGTGGGGGTGGTGACTTGTAGTGATAGGTAGGTGGTGGCGGTGGTGGTGACTTGTATTTATAAACTGGTGGAGGAGGAGGTGGTGACTTGTAGTGGTATACTGGAGGAGGGGGAGAAGTGTAATGATAAGTTGGTGATGGTGGAGGAGGTGACTTGTAGTAGTAGGTAGGTGGTAGTGGTGGTGGTGGGGACTTATATTCATAAGTCGGGGGTGGTGGTGGTGGCGACTTGTAGTAGTAAGTGGGTGGTGGTGATTTGTAGTGATAAACTGGAGGAGGAGGAGGAGGTGATTTGTAGTAGTAAGTTGGTGTTGGTGATGGGGGAGACTTGTGGTAGTGATGAGGAGGATGCTTGGGCTTCTCACACTTCTTAGAAGGGGTCTTGGGTGCATAAGCGAATGGCTTGGCCTTGAGAACAACCTCGTAATGAGTCTTGGATTTCACCTTGAGCGATGCTCCCTCCTTTCCATTGTGGAGGTTAGTTGGAATGCTACAAGTTGAATATTTGGGGGCTGAGTACAATTTGGCCTTGCATTCTTTGGCTCCATTTTTCTTGTAGTCATAACCCTTGACTGTAATAATGTATTTGCCATTGCTATTGGTTTCCCCATATGCGACTATGCTCTTGTCACCATCTTTGCACGTTACTTGCACAATTGACCCTGCTCGATCCATATCATGCATTAAATATTCATTAAATTCTCATATAACCCCCTGCTAATTGAATCATTGTTAATTTTTAATTTTGTTTGATGTTTCATATGGTGGAAAACATGTGCAACTAGCATTAATTCTTTAAGAATATGAAAATAAAAATAAAATATAATTTGTTTTAGCAAAGAAAAATGTAAAGCTATATATATATATATATATATATATATATATATATATATATATATCCTTGGATGAAAATTTAACTGCAAAATAACTATATGATTTTGTAAAAGGGAAGTCTTCGAAATTTGTTATTAATATGCATAAAAGACAAAATTCTATAAATATCGATAGAATACAACCTTTGAGGTGCTTCTTGTTGTGAGATTTCTTGGGGTATTTCCAATCATAGCATTTGTAGCAGTAAACGGTTCCAACAACCTTGACAACGAGTGGGTGATGGGGGTAAGGGTGAGGCTTTGGTGGTGGTGGTGAAGTGTAGTGGTATGGCGTAGGATGGTAAGGTGGTGGTGGGGATTTGTAGTAGTAAGGTAATGGAGATGGATGTGAAGGTGGTGGTGGAGACTTGTAATAGTAGGTTGGTGGAGGATATTTTACTGGTGGTGGTGGAGATTTGTTGTAATAAGATGGTGGTGGAGGTGGAGGTGATTTATAGTAATAAGGTGGTGGTGGAGGTGGGGATTTGTAGTAGTATTTTGGTGGGGGAGGAGGCGGAGATTTGTAGTAATAAGGTGACGGTGGTGGCGGGGATTTGTAGTAGTATTTTGGTGGGGGAGGAGGTGGAGATTTGTAGTAATAAGGTGGTGGTGGTGGCGGGGATTTGTAATAGTAGGTCGGGGGAGGAGGAGGTGGAGACTTGTAGTAATAAGCTGGTGGTGGTGGTGGTGGGGATTTGTAGTAATATTTTGGTGGAGGAGGAGGTGGAGATTTGTAGTGATAAGGCGGCGGTGATGGTGGGGATTTGTAGTAGTATTCTGGTGGAGGAGGAGGTGGAGATTTGTAATAGTAGGGTGGTGGTGGGGGTGGAGATTTATAATAATAAGCTGGTGGAGGTGGTGGTGGGGATTTATAATGATAAGGGGGTGGTGGTGGTGGAGATTTATAATAATATTCTGGTGGAGGAGGTGGTGGAGATTTGTAGTAATAGGCTGGTGGGGGTGGAGATTTAGCTGGTGGTGGAGGAGACCCATAGTGATAAGGTGGTGGAGGTGACTTAACTGGTGGTGGTGGAGACTTGTAATAATAAGGTGGCGGAGAAGATGGTGGTGGTGGTGACTTGTAGACATAAGGTGGTGGTGGCGGCGACACATATTCACCAGAAACTGATCCTGCATTCCCTGCTACAAGCAGCATAGCCAATGCCACCAGAAGTTGTGGCCATGGCTGCCCCCTTTTGGGGTCGCCACTGAAAACTCTCATTGATTTCTGCCTGCTCCACCCAAGGTTTAGGACTATGATTTCCCTAGAATGAACAGGGAAGGGGTAGAAGGAAATCTAGAGAGTCTCAGCTGTGGATCTGAATGCCGGTTGGGTTTGCAAGTCCAACTATTTATAGGTGATCCTTGACCTTAATTAGAGGGAGAGTTGCCACAAGTTGTATATATGATCGCATATTCTTTTTATTTGTTTATTTATCATTATTGAATAACACATGTTTGTTGATTGGGTTCTGCAAGCTGGATTTATTTATTTATCTAACATTTTCTTTATGGAGCAGTACTGACTCTCTTCCCTTAACTCATCTGGCTCTGAATTACGCACTACTTGTACTTGTATAAAGCGGCATTGGTGGATAGGTTATAAGAATATTAGGTTTGAATTATTGAATACTTTGGGAATTCTGTTAAGTGTTAAAAAGAATAAACTCTCATGTATTATGCCGAAGTTCATCCAAAGAACAGACTTCTGAACAGAAATTATATATACATATTTGTTATATATCCAAAGAACAAACTCAAATGGTGAAAAATTGTGTCCTAGTTCATACCCATTTGGTTGATCTTGATCAGATGATATATATGTTTGTTTAATCATTAAATTTAATGGATCAAACTGCAATTAGTTAATTAATCTTATTTTTCTCATCATTTCTTAGTCAATGGAATCTAACAACTTCTTTATTACATTTTATATTTCTAACCCAGATGATGGCCCAAGAAGTTGCAATGTTGAGATCGGAAGTTGCATGAACTGCACAACAACCTGTCATAAAGGTATTATTAATGGAAGAATGTGGTGTTTTTGAAAGTCAAAGCTCTTCCCTAATTTGATAATATTATGGGTAGTTAAGACATGAATGAAACCCGTGTTTTGATTTTAAGCCTTTTGGTTTTGGTTTGAACATCTAGGGGTAATTTGAAAAGAATTTGGGTGAAAGTTATAAGAAATGATTTAAGCACAAATGGATATTGATGAAGGATGATTTGACCCGACCTAGTAAATAACGGATACATGGATTCAATCAGGTGAATCCATTCCTGATAAATATCAGACAAATGATTCAGCATCCTCAGCTATCCGACAGATTAGCTTAGCATTCCTGATCACCTTGGCAAGTCGGGTCTACACCCCCGACCACCTTGGTAGGTCGAGTCAACACCTTCGGACGCCTAGGTAGGTCCTTTCACTTCGGGTACCTAGGCCACCTCGGATAGCACCAAGGCCCGGGTACCTTGAGATGACCAAGCTTGTCAAGGTGACACGTGGTGGGTATCTAGAAGATTGATAGCTATCTCCGAGCCTCTCGGGATCACGCCACCTAACCGTAGGTGTTAATCTTATCCCGTCTGAATCGGAGGGAAGCAGTAACCCCGTCTATTAGCAGAATCTCCGCCTTCCAGAAACGGACCCCAACGGCTCGGGCCGAAGATCCCGGGAGCATTTTGCGAGACCTACGACAACATAGCTATATAAGGGCATCAACCACCCGAAACCCAGGTATGTGCGATCATTTGCTCTATAGCCTCCTAGCACACAACTTCCAGCTTGCACACTAAGATACCGACGGGTTTTCTTATTTGTTTGTCTTGTAATTCGATTAGCTAGCTAAGCCATCAGTGTCCGAATTATCCTCCAGCTAGGAACATCCAGGTCATGCATTATCAGATATGATACTGAATAGAATGAAATGAGGACAAAAGATTTATGTAAACCACCTCATATAGTTGGGACAAACCTTAGATGATGATGATGATTTAATTGATTCCATGGTCCTTTCCATTGACACAAAAAAAGCTTATTTCCATTAGATCTTCCGATTTCCAATACTTCAAAAAATTCAGATCTAACTATAAGAACGCCATGAAATTGTTTGAATTGTATTCAGCCATAATAAATAAAAATTTGCAAATAGAAGGCTCATGCTTATCAGGTTGGCAACCTATGATTTATTTCCTTAACGTGTCCTTTTTTATATTTATTTTCATTAATTCTACATTCCCTATTAAAGCTTTGAAGTATGAAGTATTTATTTTGATATAGGGGTGTATTCGAGACAAATTGAATCGTATATTGAGCTGTTCAAGCTCAACTAGGCTCAAGTCAATACTCGCAAGTTATTTGAGCTTGATTTTACTTGAACCGATTATAAATAAATTAACATTAAAAATTAAAAAGAAATTAATATTATGAATAAAAATACATTAGGAAACATGGTTATACATTTATTCATTTCTAGTATAAATAAAAATAATATTTTATTATATGCTGAATTAGGCTTTCGAGATGCTTAAATTGGATATTGTGAAATTCGAACTTGACTCAACTAATTATTCAACTTGAGTTGAGCTTGACTCGAGTTAAGTTTGAGTATTTAGCGTGTTGGATCATCTTGCATACACCCCCTATATTTGATCTCACCAATAAGTTTTACATGATTATTTCATCCATGAGATGTGTTGTACAAGAACGATGAGGACTGATTTCTCAAATTAGGGGTTTACTTGGCAAACACGAGGACTTTTTTTGTTTGCCACATGGCGAAAGAATAATTATATATATATATATATGACTAAAAAAAGATATTCTAATATGAATAAATTAACTGATAAAGTATATTTGTGCATAGGTGAATTTAGATATATAATACATTATATATGTACATATGAGCACACAATGTATATATCTACATTGTATTATTCAATGTCGGGTAGGCTTGAGTGAGTTTCGGATAGTGGTGCAAATGGATCAGATTATGATCCAATCCTATTTTTTTGGATATTTTTCTATCGAATTTTCAGAGTAGATCAGGTCAAATAATTAGATCTAATTAAAAATCAGATAAAATTCAAATCACCCCCTATCTCATTTGGAAAAAAAAAAAATATATATATATATATATAGACAAAAAATATATGAAAAAAATGCTTGTATTTTTTTGTTTGTCTTTATATAAATTGTGGGGGTTTTTTCTGTTTTAATAATTTGTTAAATTTTAAAGAAATTAAATCCAATTGGATCAGATTTGGATATCTAACATCCTTAATGGATTCAACTTTTTTGAAATCTGATGGGAGCATATATGAGATTTGTAGTATTACATTGGATTCGGATATATCCTGATTCGGGTCCAATCCAATCTGTTTCTGTAATTTCAGATTACTTGAGGCTTCAATCCAAGCCCAACTCAATTTAGGTTAGGCCTAGGTTCTCTTGGCCAGACCCAATCTTGAGCCCAAAACTCAAGCCTAACGCATGCAAAAAGCTTGACACGGATCAGTTGAAACTCTGGTTAATCCCACCCAAATAACAAGGAATCGAAGGTTGGGATGTAAATGGATCGAATCAAGTAATAATATTCAAATTCAAATCCGATTAGAAAATTCGATATTTAAATTCGATTCGATTCGAATTTGAATTCGATCAATTAATTATTTTAGGTAATTAATAAATATATAAACTAAATATTTTATTTATATAAATTATTTATATAATATAATTATTATATATAATTGATATAAAATATTAAATATTTTACATATTATATATAAAAATTAAATAATCAATCAAATTCAGATATTTATCAAATTGAGTCGGGTCATATTCGAATTCAACTAATTAAATCTTTGAATTATTCGATTAGATAGATTTTCAAATACTGTGGACACCCCTAAGGCCATGAGCAGAAGAAAGAAGAGGAACATAGCGGAAGGGTTTGAAGGTTTTTGGTTCATTTATATTCTCCACTAATGACTAAACAAACCCATTACTACCAGAACCAGATCCCTCCGCCATAATATATTAAGATCCTAACAGATATAATAAAATCATATCGTAATAATAAACAAACAAATCGACAGCTCACTTTCTAATTTCTAGAGTCGTTCAACAGCCCTCCTCATCTTTAATTCCTTATGGTTTATATATCAATAAATACGGTTGCTGAAGGCCAGATCTACCTAACCCAAGACAACATATTCTCGGTCCAGTCAGTTGAACAAGTTATTAGATAAATCTGTTTAGTGAGCTAGTTAAAACTTAAAATTTATGTTGATCGGACCGGATTTTGGACAGGGTGGACCAGATCCCAAACCGATACATAAATGTACAGAAACAATCCGAATCAGACCGACTGGATGACAATCGATAGTAGGGGTTCTAATTATATTAGGTAAAACCATGGTTTTTAAAAATGAATCGGTGACTGAACCGGTCAGGGGTTCGATTATCGGTTCGAACGACCGGCCCGTTCTGACAAAAAAATAAAAATTTGAAAAAATTGAAAAATGATTCGAACGATTAATCGTTCGGTTCAACGATTTGTTGACCAAAATCAGCGGTTTTGGAGAAAAACGGAACCGGTCAGGTGACCGATCCTGATTTTTCCGGTCTGACCATCCGGTCCAATTTTGAAAACAGTGGGCAAAACAATGGAGGATTGGGGAGAAAAAGCCTGCAACTTTACTGCACAAGACCATGACCATCACCAATCTGTAGCTACCCGCTGTAAAACCTCACCATGGGCTCTACTCAGCACAGAAAATACTCACCGGATAATTCTCATGACTGTCTTACACTGCACCTTCGATAATTCATTTGTTAAATTGTGACATTTGGACATTAGAAAAATAGGTATGAGATCGAGGAATCTTTGTATATGATAATATAATATACATATATATATGTAGTTGGTCTTGGTCCAAGTCTTGATCGGTTTGCAACAACCAGAACCTGTTCATTTTGACCGTGATACTGACCCAAATCTAGGGATGGTAATTTCTACCCTCTCCAGTGGGTACCCACCCCTATCCTATCCGATGGGGCGGGTTTGTTTTCTTGAAGAACGGTTTTGGGGTGAAGATGGGTTTTAGGATTCTATAACCCGTATGAATATGAGTAGAGTATGGTATTAGGCTAAACCCAATCCTCCCCGATGCACATACTCTTGGAAAGCATATAAACTTGATGTATCAAGTGCTTAATTTAATAATATTTTTTAATTTTATATCAAAGATAATTGATAGTTCAATTATACCTTTGAATGTGAAGAGGGTAGAGTTGGGGAGGGTTTTGCGTTTTCATGTGCGGATAGGGTTTGGATTCTCAAAATCCAACCCGCTATGGGTTTTGGGGCGGATACAGATTGGGAGATTTAGGGAAACGGGTAGAGTCTAGAATTTGCAAAACCCTCCCTAAACCCACCTCATTGTCATCCCTACCTAAATCCTATAACCATATAATTGTGTCAATTTGGGTTAATCTGCAACCAATCCAACCCATTAACCCGGCAATGACCTAATTAAATAGAATGAAGTCACATCGGTAAAAAAGCCCAAACGGACCCATATTAACCCAACCCAACTCGTCCAAAATATTAATACTTGTCATGTTTGGCGCAAGACCCCCAAAAGAGAAAATTATATTAGGTGTCAATAAATATTTTTTCTAGGAAAATTTATACTACCAGAAAGAAGGGCTATAACCAATCAAAAATTTTGATAAATAACACAATGATACTGGTTGATTTGCCACAAGTTCTTTTGGATGTCATGTCTTTCTGATATCATGGCACAGTAAAATTTTTCCAACTAACCCATCGTTTATGTTTGTAATTTTGTATGGAATTAGCAACATTAGTTTTTCTTTCTTTTTTTATTTGGTGTAGAACGATCAATGACCAACAAACAAGAGAAGAGGCTAATTTAAAACCTAGTTCGTATAAGGCATTTCCCCGGGCAAGTGATTCCTAGGGAAACGTCACGTCGTCACCCATTAGCTACAAATACAACGTTCAGTTAGGCAAAGATTACCAAGATAAGGTGTGAGAAACAAGGCGATTAGCAATACTCTCTAAAAAAATTACCATGGACCCCATTGTAGCGATTAGGGGTGAGCATAGGTCGATTCAGTTTGGTTCCATAGCAGAACATGAAGCCTACCCTATTGGGGTCGATTCCAGGTTTTTGGAATCAAAACCTACCCCATAAAAGTCAATTCCAAGGTCTATTGATGGAACTTGTTCTTTCTTTACTCTTTCCTTAAGAAAAAAAAAAAAGGAAAATTCCCAATCAGTACCCTATACTTTGGCTCGAGTGACAATTTGATCCCTGGACTTTAAAATGAGACAATGTAGTACCCAAACTTTCAAAATGTGACGATCCAATACATGCCGTTAATCAGCAGTTAAGTGACATTTGAAAAGTCAAAAGTGCCCTTCAAATGCCATCTAATTCTCTTTATCAACCATCCAAATGTTGACAAAAAACTAAACAGTCCCAAATCCTAGCCTTTTCTATTCAAAAAAGTTAGTGACTGTTTAGAAGAATCTAAAATTTGGGACTGTTCATTTTATTGTCAATGTTTGGATGGTTGATAAAGAGAATTAGATAGCATTCTTAGGGGATCTTTTACTTTTCAAATGTCACTTAACGGCTGATTAACAAACTGGTTAACGCCGGGTAATGGATTGTCACATTTTGAATGTTCAAGTACTGGATTGTCACATTCTGAAAGTTTGGGTACTGAATTGTCGCATTTTAAAGTCTGGGGACCAAATTGTCACTCAAGCCAAAGTACATGGTATTGATAAGGAATTTTCCCAAAAAGAACCATGTTCTTTAAAAACTTAATCTTCAATAAATATGATATATATAGTTTAAAACTTATATTATCTTTATTGATTAAATTGAACAACTTAATATGTAGATTATCATTATATAGTTCAAAACTTATAATTTAAATTTAAATTTTGTGAATATTACATTTTACATTACTTATTATACACATTCAAATATTAAAATGAAAACAAATAATCAAATCACTTAAGTAATTCAATGGTCAAGTGAGACCATGACCTTTGTATCCATGAGTGATTAGGTGCAACACTTCACATCTCCAAAAGTATTTTTAGAGTTTATTTCAAGGCAAGTTCCACCAAGACCATGCAAGGCTGGTTCATCAAGTCAATTCAGGTAAGATAAACCCCTAGACCCTAGAAGGCTAGAACCAGCCTTGGTGGAGGTCGGTTTCGAAACTTTAGAACCAAACCTTACCTAGTAATAGATTAGATAGGATTGGTTCAAGACTGGTTCCATTCAATTTTAAAAAGAATTTACCAATTTGCTTACCCCTAATAGCGATAGTAAAACACAAGATTATTACATTTTTGTGAAACCCACCTACTTGCCCATTTTTTATCGCAAAACGAACAGGGCGGGGCCTAAATGACTAGCACCTACCCGTCTCAGGTTCCAACCAACCCAACTCATTAAAATATGAATCCATTGGGTTGATGGTTAGGCTGCGTAATAAAATACCCAGCATCCAGGAATGTGAGATACTAATTGTTCATGGGCCAGGCTCGGACTTGGCTTTGGACAAAATTTGAATGGTCAAGGCCAAAAGCCTGGCCCCAAAACAGCACAAAGTTGGTTCTGGCGGACCGCCCCGTGAACACTGTCACGACTCAAACAAACCCTGAAATAAATGAGTGGGTTGGGTTACAACATATTACCAATTACCACCCCAAGACTAAACCGGATTTCATGCCCACAACTCTAACCGCCTTGAATAGCAGCCACATATCTTGTATTGTGAGATGTGCGGCTGCAGTGTAGTGTGGGTAGGGGCGTGGGTAGAGAAGGTGAGCAGGAAATGTTCGGTGATGGGTTCATCTCTCTCCAGATCAGCAGATGCCAAACGAAGCCCGAAAACCGAGAAGGCGAGCATCGGGTGGGTCAACCCATCTTTAAATTCGGTGCTGAACATCATGGACCTAGTGTTAAAATGCAACATGTGGGGACCAAATACATCACATCACATAGGTTTATCACCACCACAGGTCTTGTCCAGATTGAAGTTTTTCCAGTTCCAGGAGGTTGGGATCTTGACTTTGTGAATCCATTTCTTTACTTTTACGACAAGATCCAGGAGACATCCGTCCAACTCCAAGCCGAATACAATCAAATACTAAATATAACCCAGATTATTTTTTTTCGAAAAAATAAATAATAATAAAACAAAAAGAAAGTGCACTGCAGTCAGACCCCTTGTATAACAAGAATTAAGTAAGCTATGATGAACTTGAGAGCATTGAACCTGTTCAAAAACCAATCCAAATGACAAATGCATCACAACCAGAAGAGGGGGGCTAGGTATCTTGAAACGGCCAACAATCTGGTGAGGTCGACCAAGAGCAACTCCAATTCTTAGCTGGGCAACCTGCAAATTACCCAAACTTGCCACCTTTTCAGTCCTGAGCAGGGACAAGTTTACCTTGGCAGTTGATGCTACTACTACCAAACCAAGCATGAACCCAGTCCATTGTAAGTTTGTAACTAGGTAAGACAAGATGCATGGAATCATCTCTTGCACAATCAATATTATAACATTCCATAAAAACCAAATTTTAATACATATCAGCTCTAATAATCTACATGGCCATTGGAAAGCATGTATATACCTGTAAAAATATCAGATGTAGATTATCCACACTAATTGAAGCATGAAAGAACTGACTTCAAAAATTTATGAAAATAACAATATTACCATAAGAATTCAGAGTCAACATTGGTTCTTCAAATAACATCAAACACTCTGCAATTTTAGTCCAAGTTTTGCCTAAAGGAGGAAAAAGGTCCTGAAACAATTAGCTTCCACCTTCCACTTGAGTGATCCTCAACCTTGCATAATTTAGGAAAAAAAAAATAATCTTTAAGTATATTCTTGGAGGGAGAGATAAATCAACATAGCAATATAGTAAATTGGCGTAGGTAGAAATAGAAGAACATACCAAGCATGTCCTAATTTGCGTCCAGGCACAAGGACAAAACAGAATGGCTTGAAGATGAATGCAAACCTGAGACACAGAGAACTCTGTGAAAACAAATCGGAAGAAAAAATAACAAATGGAATAGATAAAAAATAGGAAAAAGATTAGTAACTAGCCTTCTAGCTCAGTCTGTAACCAATCCTGAGTGCTTATCAAGGCCTGTAGAATGTCTGGATTTAATGAACTCCGGTAAGGATCAAGTACCCTATCTCCAACACTGATTGTTGATCCCAATGGTACTGTTGCCATGGGAATCCCCAGTACATCACGAGCCATCATAGATAAGATAGGGTATCTTGGCATGTGAACTTTCCACCAATTCAATATATTAAAATCCAAATTGCGAGGAAAAACAGGTTCTTCCAAATATTTATCCAAGTCAGATTTGGCCCTCTGGCTATTAGAAGTCTCATTTAGAAACTTGTCAAACCCACTAAGCCTGTCATTGTTAACACTAGGTAAGCAGGTGCCAGTAAACCTGTTGTTACCTCGAACTTCCCAGCCTAAACCTTGATCAAGTGATGCTAACGTTGAACAGATTGAATATTCATTGTAGAGTTCCTTAATACTGTCGAAAACAACCTTGATGCGTTCAGAAGCACTACTACCATAAATCTGTGGATAGTAATATTCTACCAACTTCATCTTGAACCGAGGATCCAAGATGACTGCTACTGCTAAAGCCAAGTTGCAAGTGCTCCAGTATTTATCAAACTTGCTTTTCATCTTCAGTCCCATAGTACTAATAACAACATCTGAGCTTTTGCACCACTCAATCAATTGTAAATGAATGTCACAAATCTCAGGAAAATATAAGTTTGCAGTTGGATGTTTGATCCCAGAGAAAACATTTGAAACTTCATAGAAGAGTTTCAAATAGTTGCAAATGGTACTTACCCTTTCCCACTCTATATCAGACGGTGCCATTGTGTAGGCAGAGTCATGTTCTTGCAAAAGAGAAAATGCATCCCTGTATTCTAAGGCCACTGCAAGCATCAGATACGTTGTATTCCATCTCATTGGGCAATCAAGGCACAAGCCCTTTTCATTATAAATACGAACTTGTTGGGCCAACTCATTGAATTTTTCTTGCCGTGCTTGTGAACTTTTAACATATCTAACACTTTCACGGATCTTGTGGATAACTTCATTTATTGCTTCCAATGCATCTTGAACAATCAGATTGAGGATATGTGATGCACAACGTACATCAAATAATTGACCATTACTCAAAAGCAACCTGTTCTGAGTAAGCCGATCTCTAATTCTAAAGACAAAATTGTCATTGGTGGAGCAATCATCAAGTGTCATGGAAAACAGCTTACGGTCAATATCCCATTCCATCAAACATGTCATAAGAACTTCTGAAAGCAAGTCTTCTGTATGAGAAGGATCAACCATTACAAAGTTCAGAATCTTTTTCTGTAATTGCCAAGTCTCATCAATGTATTGTGCTGTCAAACATAGGTATCCACCATTTTCACATGAAGCCCACATACCAGCAGTAAGACTTAGTCTGCCTGGCAATTTGTCCAACATCTCATACACTTTTTGTTTCTCTTTCACATAAATGTCCATACAATCAGCCTCAACAGAATTAGATGACATAAACTTAAACAATGGTTGAAGATTCTTAACAAATACTTTGAACCCTATGTGTTCAACCATGGCCAATGGATACCCATGTAAAATGATCATGCGCACAAGATCAAGGCGACTACGCTCTTGCTCGAACTTGTAACTTTCAAGACTAAGGGTCTCATCTTTCTTCTGCTCTTGATCAAAATTAAAGTTTTCAAGGTCAAGGGATCCTTCTTTTTTCTTTTCTCTTACTACAAGTAATTGAGCAATGTCATGATTAGATCTTTTCCGACACCTTTTCAAGTGATTTCTCAAATGTGATGTTCCACTGGTACTTGATCCACTAAGTTTCTTTTTACAATGTTTACAAACAGCATAACAAGCATCAGCCCTTTTAACCCTTTCGAAGTCATTCCACACAAGAGATGTCAATCGTTTTGTCTTTTTAACAACAGGAGGGCTTGAATTTTCCATGACATGGACTTAATACTCTACCAGTCTGCAAATCACATAAAACCAAATGCAATTCTATAAATAATAGAAGTAAAAGCTGAACAGAAAATAGAGCCAGATGGTTATTTACTCAAAACCCAATCAACAATGACACCCAAGAAACTGCAGCAATCATATAGCACATTTTCAAGACTCCACAAAACATGGATCAATTAGATATGATTCTTATATTGAACAAAAACACATACATATCCACTAAAATCACAACTAAATTGTAAATAAAGAAAAGAGAAACAATAACAATATGAAAGATTTAAGGTTGTGGAAGACTTCCATTGCCAAAGTAGACTAAATGGGGAGAAGGGAATGTGAAGTCTCCTAAACTAAATATCAAGTTCTGAATTCTTAACATTTCTGGCAACATTGCCCCTAAATGCATTCTGCAATGATATAAAATGCAGCGACACTTGTCTATGCAGTTTAACTTCTTTTATAGTAAAATAAAAATTTATTAAAAAGGAAAAAGAGATTACGAGAAAGGTGACAAGAAGTCGCCCAAGAGAAGAACTAAACAACCCTTCACCCAACCAAAACACAACTCCAATCCCTCAATATGAAAAACCAAAAGAACCACTCCAAAAAACATAATCACCAACCAAAAGAAAGACTGAAAGCATATGACCAAACCCAGGCAACCAGCAACTCAATCAACAAATATGCTTAACCATCTTTTCACAAATATGTAACAGGAAGAGGGGCTTTGTTCTGAATGTCCAATAAATTATTATGGCAGGACATTTATTTTTTGGAATCACAATAACAAGAATCAACAGACAAGTTAATTCTACAAATATAGAAACATATAAACCTCCCATGATCCAAAGAAGATGGACAAAAAAGTTACAACTTGAACCCCATAAACAATCCCAAGGCCACAGTATTTATCTGGTACACCTCCCTCAAAATAAAAATTCAATCGCTCCCAAAACCATAACGCCAAAAAACTTTCAACTCCAACTGATAGTGGATCAATTGGAAAGGTCTCTTGACTAGTTGGTAGTGGAGACTTGGGATCAAATCCAATTGCCATTATGCCCCTAGGAAATGGCTAGCAACTTCCCTCTCAACTCAGCCTTAATCCCAATTATTTGTGGTTGGATATGTTCTCAATTCTGCTTCACTTCCTGATTCAGTTTTCACTCTATAAATGTGATCTGAATTCCAATGTACTCATCTTCTACATCTAGATGTATATCCACCAATTCCTGTAGACAAGCATATGAAAATTGGAAATAGGATGCTAGGAACCTTGAGCACCTCCCCATAAAAGGAAAAAGCGAGTGCCCCATCCTTGCATGGGCCAAGTCAAACGAAAAAAAAAAAAAAGGTAAGAAAGAAAAGTTTAACGCACAAAGTAGACACTTAGAATTACATCACAGAAACTTCAAGCAAATACATTCAGCTACAAAGTGGTGCATCAAACAAATCAAAGAGAGTCAATATTAGAAGAACCAACAATAAAAATATTTGAGTATTTTTCCATCTATAATGTAGAAAAGTACAGATTGCCAAACAAATTGCTAAATCAGAAATAAGAACCCACCAATTCAAAGATTCAATAGTATGAGATAAGCATATATATGTTGAATCCTGACTCCTCCCTCCTCTGAAATTACCATAAATTGACTAAAAACACCAATCATCCAATTAATTCACAAACATCAAACTGTTAATTAAGGAAACCTTTTCAGATTATCTGAAATGGTATGAGAACTTATAACAATCATAAAGTATTAATTACAATTAGGATAAAACCACACGGGCTTCGAGGTGAGTTGTCAAAACCCTACAGATGGGACCTCCAAAATAATTAAGTTCGTTCTTCAGTTATAATATTTCAAGCAACTAACCATAAGACAATTTGACAGGCTCCAATAAAATCTCAAATCATTTAAGAAAGTCCCAGCTCAGGCCCAGAATAAAACACGATATATCGTGATTAATTTAACATATAGAACATACAATCAGAATAGAACAAGCCAACAGTAGTTCGGTTCAGAAATCCAACGTGATTCACAAGAACTGATGAGCCTCCGATCAGTAGGGCTGCAAATGGGTCTGGGTCAACCCAACTCTGACATATTAGAGACCTAGACGAACGCCACTTCCGCCAAACCTAGAGTCCAACCAATCAGATCTGAGAAGAACAACGGAAGTGATCGGAAGAGACGCCGGTCGATCCATCAATTTCGAAGGTAAAAGAATTGGAAGTCTGCAAGTGGGTCAGAACTAAAACCGGTTGGGATTCGCCATGGATCCAACCTGTAACCCCAGGCACCCGTCCCAAATCAAAACCCTCGATCCAATCCATGGCAATTCCGATCCAACGAGTCAGTGGGTCGACCCGCCCCATTTCCAACCTTACAGGTATCGGATCAGAGCTTCGAACACAAAAAGCTGTAATCCACAACAACCATGAACGATACCCTCGATAACCTCCCGGATCACAAGAAAAAATGAAAGGGGGACGAAGAAGACAAAATTAAAAATAAGTAATTTTAGCGTCTACCAAGCGCTCAGTCCGTCTGAACACAGAAATCAAACCAAAGGACGTCACGGAAATGGAAAATTCGTCAAACCCAGGTTGAGACAGGGAATCTTGTTCATCCACACGAAACGTTTCAGCCCTAAATTTTCAACCATGGAAATTTGTAACTGTCCAGAAAAACCACACCTCCAGACAACAACAATTGCAGAACAACATACAGAAAACACAAAGAAATCCATGGAAAAGTTGTCCAATGCCACACAGTAATCTTAAAACGAAGGAGAAAGAACATAAGACAATTAGGGTTAGGGCTCACAGCAACTGCAGAGGTTCAACCGGAAACAAGCTAAGTAGTTGCAGAGGACACTCTCCCCTTCCTTCTCGAGAGTCCGATTGAGAGCTGGATGGTTAGGGTTTGGTTTCCGATTCTCGAAACACCCCGCACGCGCAGTGACGAGCGATAAAACCCGAACAGAAGAAAACCCGAAAAGAAAACGGGGTTAGTAAGAGAGCTGAAAGCCTCCTTTTAGGCGCCAATTTTGCAGATTGACACCAAGTGCCTAAGTCAAGGAAAAGTCTCGGTTTATCCTCGCATCCAAACACGCTCTGCGGATAATCCAAAATCTGTGGTGGATGGTCCGATTGAGAGTTTGATCGAAGTTGGAGGGCCGGATTGTCGAGGACCAAATGATGGGATAGATGGGGGCCTATGGCCGGCCCATTCAGACATTGGACCAATTAAATCTGAATTGGGGACCTTTGCTCGGCCCGGCCCATGGAATACGTGAATCTTTCATTAAGGCTCTGTTTGGGATAGCTTCTGCATTTGGGGCGAGCTGTGTTAATTGAGCCGCTTTGATGTTAACGCCCCTGATGACTTTTATATTTTCACCGTTTCACCAAAGCTTCTTACTGTGTGGAGCTCAATTTGGAGCACCAAAAGCTGCTCCTCAAAAGCCTTTCCAAACAGGCATAAAGCACCGAAAGATGCGTCTGATAAAAAAGTACTTTATTCAAAACAACAAAACCTACCTAATGCCCAACAACCAGAGTCAACCTGTTGGGCGATTTGGGCTGTTTGATAATAGCTGAAGCAGCTGAATTGAATGGCTGATTATTTTGTCTTTTAGTGAATAAAATAATTATGGAATAAAATATTGAAGGTATAGATGTATAATAACCAACCCAACTTGATAACTTAATCACTAAAAAGCAAAAGTCAAATGGGTAATATAATAGACCCAATATATTGATGAGAAGGACAATGGGCTTTTCTTTTTCGGCCTATCTAATTTGTGGGTGATGCAGCATCAAACAGATCGACCTTGACAGCAATGTAGGTGGGCCCATATTGTCAAAACCAATCTTTTTAAAACCCGACCCGAAAGCAAACAGTTGTTCCCTCTTAGATGAGTCACTAGTTCAACCGGTCCAAGTCAATGGACCAATCTCAGTCTGTGATTTAGTTCTTGATATTTGTTTCGCCAACTAGTCAAGTGCATTTGTTTCATCAATTAGCTAATGCCTTTGCGTCCCCTGATTCAGCATATCTCCAAGGAAAGAATGGGCACCACGGATGCCCTCAGAAAACGTAGCCCTTCTGTAGTCACCGTAATTGCCGCAATGACACCCCTGTTAGATTTTAATCTCTGTTAAGTGGGCTTACAGATTCAGTGAAATAATTGTATTGATGGGCTATCTTGTAAGTGGGCTAAATCAAGTGATTCATTTAAGGAAAGCCCGTAGACTTCAAAACAAAAGGGTATGGGGCTTAATGAGTGGATACCACATTTTGGCCCATAAAAGCTTAATGGGATCCTATTAGATCAAAATATAAAAACTCCTAGGTTATGGTTCCCAATATGTTAAATCATCTAGCCGCCCTTTTGCTCTACCTCATTAGAGTCAAGAGCTGAGAAAACCTAAGGAAGAAAGAAGATTTAACTGAGAAAAACCATAGTCGACCTACCATTAATTCATTACTCATTCCGCAAGGTTTTCTACTACTGCGATAGAAACAGGTATATACGTTTAAACCTCCTTGATAACTGCAGCATGATATTCTTTGGGATGCAACATTGTTTCTTATTCTTCGTACATAAATGGTATTGGTATGATTCTGCAAGACTAAGGATTGATTTACTGCCCTTTATTTATTCTTACAACTCCTCCATCTTTAAAAGAACCATAAAATAAAAAAAAAAAAAACCTCCAAGAGCTCAATCAGATGCACAGCAAAGCGTTACGTTTGTTTGAGTTGTAAAAGTAAATTTGCACCGAAGAAAATAATAATACCATCTGGTTTGATGTGAGTGTAAAATGGGAATCGGATGTTAGGAGATTGAGGWAAATTAAGCGTTGGATAACACCCCCATCAAATAAATAATGCCCAGGTGATGGTGATGGATTGTCACTTCTGCATATATGCTTGATTAATATTTAAAATTTAAATTATAATTGTTTAAAATTTAACATTGAAGCCTCTTGGACTCTGTTCCACGCGGTAGAGTGAGACAGTTTAGGGTGGTCGACCAACGACTAGAATGGTAGAAATGGTGGGATGCTGCAAGAAATAGAGGAAAGAAAAAAAGGAACCGAAAACCATGGGTTTTTACTAGATTCAAGTGAGAACAAAGAGGAGGGACTTGCCGCTGCAACTCCCCTACTTTCGCTGAAGAAGGCAATGAGTAATGGCTCAGCGGCGAGAAGGAAGATGGAAAGGAAAGTGGAGAGAATAGGAGGAAGATAAGGGAATCAGAGAACAAGAAAAAAACCAAGCTCTAATTGCCGCCATAGTTTGGTGCTTCGGAATGTTGAGGACAATGAATATATAGGACCATTGTCAAAGCAAAAATATGGTGAGAAATAAAAAACTGATGAGAACGATGGGGGCGGATCTGAGAAGGATGCATCTGTTCCTCATATCATTGAAAAAGGAAGAAAAAATGGGGGGATATCTGAGGACGATGCATTCGTTCCTTAGATCCATGAGAAAGGAGGAAAAAATGGGGGCAGATCTGAGAACAATGCATCCCTTCCTCAGATTTGTTCATCAGATGGGAACAAAATGGTGTAGATATGAGACTGATGCATTCGTTCCTCATATCTACTCCTCCAGATCAGATCAAAAAAATGGTAAAAAACTGTACTTGCATTATCGCCGATAGAGAACAATACCAGTGAATGCTTGAACGTTGCAACGGCTAGAGGAGGTCTGAGGAGGAAGTTTTACACTGATGGGGAAGATGATGGAATTTTACATCGATTTTATTGATGATAAATTTCCACAGGATATCAATGTAAAACTTGGGCACGGTGGAATTCCACGCTGGTTAATGGTGTAAGCCAACACCTCAAACAAATAGATGCAAACTCGAACCGGGATATAAACTTTACACCAGTTTGAGTTTTCACCTCAAACAAACGCGGCCAAAAGAACTAGTTGGAGTGTGATGCATACACTTTGTCAAATGAGGTATTCACCCTTGAAACTTAAATCATATGTGAACTCAACCAGACTTGGTAATCCATCTGGTTGAACCAGCGAACCTTTCAATCCGGTCAATGAATCATGAGTTGTGCTGAAAGCTGGAGGGTGGGGTGGGGTGGGGTGGGGTATTTGATTTGTTACATATCAAACCAAAATCTTATGAACAACAAAATTCTGTTTTGAAGCCTTGATACCATGGCAGTTGTTGGCTAAAACATGAATCTCTAGATTGATTTTTTTTTTTTTTTTTTTACCATATTTTCATTGTAGTATCATCAAAAGAACAACTTTGAGGCTTAATAGCCATAGCACAACTTTTTATCATAATATCAGGTACCGTCATGTTTATCGTGACGCTAATCAAGTGGCAGATTGATTAATTCATTAGGTAGTTAGTGATCGATCTTTTATCTCTTAATGATCTTTTGTGGGATTTAGCTTTCATTTGCTTCTGTGATGTTTGAAATCTTGTGTAGCCCCCTCCGTTTTATAAAAAAAAATATATTTTTTTATTTTCTTTTAATTACATGTTTGAAATCTTGGCTGATAAGTATGAGAACGTGAGCATCTCTTATAGTGGCCATTGAAAAAATGACAAAGGTTAGGTCCTTATTCAGTCCACCCCTCCCAAGTATGTATTGCCAACTTTGGTCAATGGTATTCCCAGCTTATAGACACAAATTTGAACTCCCAATTATGATTTATGATAGCACAACGTTTGAGAAATAAGTGGGTAAAGCTATACTACTAACAAGGTCCATAATTGTCTTAAGGCATCTAGGGGATGATTAGGCAATAAGAATTTTATGATAAAAGAAACTTATTTTTTGGTTAGTTTTCTAATTATATATACCATTTAACTTGTATGTATGTATGTATGTATGTATGTCAGATTCGAATTAGAATTGAATTATTGGGCCCAAGCTTGACCCTAATGGTGTGGGGATGAGCAGTAACAGAGGAATTTTCTTTTGAGAGAACCAAGTTAAATAAGAAAATGAGATGGGGAATAGAGGAGGTAAGGTCTAGAGAGAAATGGGCCATGAAGGTTGAATCTACTAGAGAGTGATGCTTAACATTTTAGTGGAACTTCCAACTTGAACCTGCTTATTCCTCCCATCTTTTCTCTCCCTCAACCCCCCC